GTTGAAGACACAAATAAATGGAAAGGTATTCCATGTTCATGGATTGGCAGAATTAGTACTATTAAAATGTCCATGCTACCCAAAGCAATCTACAGGTTCAACACAATCCCCATCAAAATCCAAATGATGTTTTTCATGGAAATAGAAAAATTCATCTTAAAAATTCATGTAGACTCTAAAGGGACACAGAATAGCTAAAACAATCCTGAAAAAAGAAGAATAAAGCTGGAAGACTCACACTGTCTGATTTCAAAACTTATTAGAAAGCTACAGAAATCAAAGCAATGCAGTGGGCATTGCTTTGTGGGCATGAAGACAGTCATATAGACTAACAAAGTAGAACAGAGATCCCAGAAGTTAAACCCTTACATTTATGGTGAAATGATTTTTGAGAAGGGTGCCAAGACCATTCAATGGGGAAAGGACAATCTTTTTAACAAATGTATCTGGAAAAACAAGATATCTATACACAAAAGAATGAAGTTGGACACTTACCTAACACTGTATGCAAAAATTTCTCAAAATAGACCAAAAATCCAAATGTAAGACCTAAAACAGTAAAACTCTTAGAAGAAAACATAGGGCAAAAGCGTTGTGACCACTTGGATTGGGCAGTCATTTCGTGGATATGACGCCAAAGACACAGGTAACAAAAGAAAAAAACAGACAAATCAGACTTCACAAAAATTTTAAAATTTTGTACATCAAAAAGACACAATCTACAGAATAAAAAGGGAACTGAATGGGAAAAAGTATTTGTAAACCACATACCTGGTAAGTGGTTGATATCCACAATATAGAGACAACTCCTAAAACTCAAAAATAGCAAAAAGCAAACAAGCCAATTCAAAAATGGACAAAGGACTTGAATAGACACTTCTCCAAAGTATAAGATATAAGAGTGCCCATCAGGCACACGAAAAGGTGCCCACTATCACTCATCGTTAGAGAGATGCAACTCAAAACTACAATGAGATACCACCTCACTCCCACTGAGATGGTTACTACCAAAAGAACAGAAAGTAAGTGTTGGTGAGGATGTGGGGAAACCAGAACCCTGCACTTTAGTGGGAATGTAAAATGGTACAGCCACTGTGGGAAACTGTGGAGCTTCTACAAAAAAATTAAAGTAGAATTACCATCACTCAGCCGTAAAAAGAAGTATAGGCTTGTCATGCACCACTTGATGGACCTATAGGGTGTGATGCTAAGTGAATTAAGTCAGGCAGAGAAAGACAAATATACCATAAGATTTCCCTCATGCATGGAATCTAAAAAATAAAACAAAAGGAACAAACAAAAAACAGAAACAGACTCACAGATGATGGTTGCCAGAGAGAAGAGGTGTGGGGGGATGACAAGATAGGGAAAGGGGATTAGGAAGTACAGACTTCTGGATATAAAATAATTGAGGCACAGGGATGTGGTGCACAGCATAGTGAATCTAGATGGTAATTTTTTTAAAAGATTTTATTTATTTATTTGACAGACAGAGATCACAAGTAGGCAGAGAGGCAGGCAGAGAGGAGGAAGCAGGCTCCCTGTTGAGCAGAGAGCCCAATGAGGGGCTTGATCCCAGGACCCTGGGATCATGACCTGACCTGAAGGCAGAGGCTTTAACCCACTGAGCCACCCAGGTGCCCCTCTAGATGGTAATATTAAAACAACTCTGTTTTGTGACAGACGGTACCTAGACTTATTGTGGTGACCATTTTGTAATGTATATAAATATTGAATCACCATGTTGTACACCCAAAATAAATACAATATTATATGTCAATTATTCCTCAATTTAAAAAAATTCAGTACCAAAAAAGGGAAGAAATAAATACACTTCTATCTATTAAAAAATAAAAACAGAATTAGCATATGACCCCCAGCGATCCCACTTCTGGGTGTGTACCTAGAAGAGTTAAAAGCAGAGTCTCAAAGAGATATTTGTACACCACTGTTCACCACATTTTGCACAATAGCTAAAATATGGACGCAATGCAGGTGTCCACTGACCAATGAATGGATAAGCCAAGTGTGGCATATCTGTACAATAGGACATTATTCAGCCTCAAAAAGGAAGGGAATTCTGACAGGTGCTACAACATGGGTGAACCTTGAGGACGAGTGAAATATGCCGAGTGAAATAAGCCAGTCCACACAAAGATACATACATACGTATACTCCACGTCTATGAGATAACAGAGTAGCCTCCAATGTAGACACAGGAAGTGGGGTGGTGGGCGCCAGGTGCTGGAGTGGAGAGAATGTAGTTAGTGTTTAATGGGGACAGAGGTTCAGTTTTACAAGATGAAGAGTTCTGGGGATGGACAGTGGTGACAGCTGTATGACAACGTGGACATACTTAATACCACTGACCTGTGCACTTAAAATGGTTAAGATGGTAAATTTGACACTATGTGAACTTGAACACAATTTTTTAAAGAAAGCAAAACCAAAAAGGAACTGTTATTATTATTTTTTTTATTTTTATTCATGGACCGACCAAGAAAAAAAATCGTCGGCTTACTTTCTCCTTGAGTATTTTGATGGGATGGACCCACTACTGTCTGGCACTGGTTGTTGCCATGGAGACGTCTGAGTCCAGACTCATTTTTCTCTCGTAAGTGACTTGATCTTTTTGTCCCTCAGCCCTGAGGGTTATTTATTCATCTTTAAAATCCAGTACCTTTGGGGGCACACCGAGACCTGCACCTGCCTCCAGGTTGCTCAGATGTGTTAGAGCGACGCAGACATAATCAGCAAATACAATCCCTTCCATCCACTTACGGACATTTGGGACCCCCTGTAGAGTATCCGTAAGTCTTCTCTTCTTTTCGATGGGGTGGCCTGCTTTGTCTTGTGGATTGTAGAAATGCCTCGTCTATTCTAGCCTGCAGGTACTCTTACCTCTTGGAAGGATGCCTTGCCTTTAGGCACCCAGTGTTTCGTTAGAACTGTTTCATTTGAAAAATCACTATCTGAGACGTCCCTTTTGAAGTTAACGGTTTTGGTTTTTTTTCCTTCCCTCTGACTACTTTTAAGGTTTCTCTCCCATCTTTGGTTTCCAGCATTTTTACATTTCTCTCAGGTGTTTTTTTTTTTTTTCCCCATTTCTTTAGAAGATGTGTGGTTTGGTTTGGTTTGGTTTTTCTTCACCCAGTTTGGGACTTGCGGTGGTATTTTAATCTGTGGCTGTGGATGTGTTTGAGTAATTGCCCTCTCCGTTGCTTGTGATGGACTCACTCTCTCTCACTTGGCGCTGACCGGAGAGATTACACCTGAGGAGTGAGGGGGAGCTGGAAACTCTGGCCTCATAGGGACTGAAGCCCACTATCCAATGGGGGCGCCTGGGAGGCTCAGTTGGTTGAGCGGCTCCCTTTGGCTCAGGTGATGATCTAGGGTCCTGGGATCAAGCCCCGCCTCAGGCTCCCCGCTCAGCGGGACACCTGCTTCTCCCTCTCCCCCTGCTCATGCTCTCTCTTGCTATGTCTCTCTCTCAAATAACTAAAATCTTAAAAAGAAAGACAGCTACACTAACAGACTTAACCCAGATATAATAGAAGGAGTTGGTCCAAAATATTTAGCCCAGCCTGGCCGAATGCTGTGGTCCTTTATCCTTTCAGTTCTAACCATAACTGCTTGCTTTCAAAATAACAGGAGATTGGTTTTGTTATGTTGCTTTTGGGTTGTACCAAACGAGAAGAAAAAAAACAAAACAAAACAAAAACAAAAACGCAAATGCTCCAAAAAAGGAAACACACTAAGGCCACTTGGAGGCCTGGCAGAAGATTGGAGAGAGTTCTTTGACTATATATATATATATATATATATATATATATAATTTATATATAAATTAATTTTTGGACAATCCTGTGATTTTGAATCGAAATCCTTCTATGCGCCAGAAACGACTACAGAGGACCTGCTGTTGGAATAAAATAAGTAGGAGATGGAGAGATGAACTTGCACGGGGTGCCCAGCCTAACAGAACAGGTGCGGCTCCAGAACTCAGGGTGCTCTCGCACATTTTTACCTGTGGCTTCTTGGAGCAAACTGCAGGGAACGCCATTCACATAAAATAGCACACAGACAGCGCCGGACTGCAGGTCCAGCTAGGGCCCTGCGGTTTAGTGCCTTTCCTGAGCTAGGGGGAGCCACCGCTGTAGGAATCACCACAGAGAAAGATCCAGAGGCAGTGTGAGCCTGCTGTATGCAGAAGTGCCTGGGCCAAAAAAGAAAGTCAAACTGAGATACATCAAGATCGTGCATTTGAAACCCCCGAGTGCCGGTTCTGCTGGTCCCTTACTTGTCCCCTGCTCGCAGCGCGTCCGACTATGGGCTTCTGCGTGCATTTGGATGGTGGGAGGAAGGAGGAACAGAAATGAGGAGAGGGTTTATCAAGAGCCATGGGGAGGGAAGGGAGGGGCGCTGGGAGCAAGGCAGAGGGGAGGCAGGGCTGGGGAGGGGCGCTGTTGGCACGGGTTGGTTGAGGGTTCCAAAAAGCCTGAGGCCAAGAGCTGCTGTTGGCAGCCAGATCCCCTGAGGCGCTGGGAACTTCTGTAGCTTAGCTTCGAGGGTCTTGCAGAACCCTTGGAGGAAGCACTGACTACAGGAAGACGTTTGTGTTCTAAGACACCGTCTTTGTTTTTCTTCCTTGAAATCTGAATGAGAGGGCGGGAAACAGAGCATGTATCACCGACTTTATTATTTAATCAGACCTTTTTATGGATATGAAAGTCAAGTTCTCTGGGGAGAAGGACAGGGATGCAAGGAGTCTGTGGGTGACAATGTGCGGGGCCAGATGGACACTGAGGTAAGGCGACTGCGGGGGTGCTGAGTTCCAGAAGTCACTGGGAACCACTCCTGGTGAACTCTCCAGAGCCATTTGAGGCTGCAGCCCAGGGACCCTGACAACACAGCTGTGGGACCAGTCACTTCCCCAGAGGGTGTAGCCAAGGAACAGGAGGTCCTCAAAGGCACTTAGGGAGGGCGAAGCTTGGGGCCTCTCAGATGGTGACACTGTTCTCTACCATGCTGGGTCAAAAGTACTCATAGGGCAGCTCCAGGCCTGCATTGCGGACCTCCAGCTCCTGGTCCATGGCAGCCAGCTCCTCCTGGAATTTCTCCAGCACAGCCTGGGGGCCAGGGCCTGAGAAATATTTCTCCTTGTGCTGCCCCAAGGCCACCTGAGAAGGGGAGAACAAGACAGCTCGGCCCTGGACCCCTTGGCTGAGAATACCACCCCTCCTTCAAGCCGCTGCCTCCCCCAGGACCCGGCATCTGTCTCTAACCATGACGGGCTGGCGTCTGCCGAGGAACTTTGTGAAGGTCTTCTGCATGCGGGCTTGGTGGGCAGTGGGCAGTGAGTCCACTATATCCTTCTCTGTCATGTCCTTGGAGGTGGGTGGGGGCTTCCGCATGGTGCACGGGCCATTGGGGATCCAGGCATACCAGTCCAGCTGCAAGGAGGGGAGCCTCTCAGATGTCCAGGCTGGTGACCCAAGCATCCGGGTCCCCAACTCCTCCATCCTGGGAGCCCCTGGGGCTGACCCCAGCAGCCTACCTGGCCCAGGTGGGCAGAAGCATGCTGACCCGTGCAGGTAAAGATGCACATGGAGGCAAAGTGGCAGAGCTGAGCCCGGGATTCTAAGGAGACGGGGAACCTGGGTGACATGAAGAGAAGAAGAGGCTTTGAGACCAGGACATGGGCCCCAGGCCTCAGTCAGTACAAGGTATCTGGAGATTTGGAGAAGTTTCTGTCCGTGGCCGTGGCCTCTAGAGTCCACAGCTCGCATGCGATGTACGTGTAGGCGCTCGAGGAGGGAAAGTGCCCAAGGGGAGTGTGTCTGGTTCCAGAAGGTGCTCTGAGTGCACGAGGGCAGGGAATGCTGTGCCAGACGGTGCAGAGGGAAGGGGCTGGGGACTCAGGATCGATCGTTCAGATTTCTGAAGGGTGCTCTGGAGGGGTGCCTGGGATGCTTGGGGAAACCGAGGCAGGGTGGCCTATGACGACGCTGTGAGATGGTGCAGATGGTTGGCAGGTGGGTGTGGGTTGACACGGGCTGGTGGGGAGGGGTCTGAGCTTACCCCCGTCCTGGGTGCCCTGCAGCCCGGTCTCGGTGACCTCTCTGCACCAAGCCTGTAGCTCGGGGTCATCCCTCACGGCCGCATCACTCTTGTAGAAAAGACCGACCATCCCCTCCACATACCTACTCCCCAGGCAAGAAAGCCCCAGTCTCAGGTGGCCGATGCAGGACCAGCTGGACCGGTAGCCCCCCTCGTTCTCTCCACCAAGCCCACTGGGTCCCCCCCTCCGTGTCCTCCTCACCGGCTGATGATCCCCCACAGTCTGAGGGCATCTTGGCCGTAGAGAGATGCCTTCACATCCAAGAGCCCGCGGTCAGCTGGATCGTCAGGGGAGCAGAGGGAACGGTAGGTCAGGCAAGCCGTAGCTCTCTGGAGAATGTCCACATGCCTCCACTGCCCGTGCTCACCACCTGAGGGCAACCCCGCAGCACGTACACCAGGGTCAGCCATGTCTGCGGGGAGGGCGTTCAGGGTCAGACTCCAGGTCCATGGTCCTGCTCAGGCCAAACAACCCTGAGGAACCTTCCACTGTCGAAGCCCCTGCCCTCTTCACCCATCCCTTTCCATACCAGATCAAAAATTCCCCATTTGGGGACAAGGTTACTCTGGGCCAGGACGTTGATCTCCATGGTGTAGCGGAAGTGGGGGACCAGGAGCTGATTTGAGAGAGAGAAATGGGACCGTGAGGGGGGATCCCAGGATCCGTGAGTGGAATGGAAATTAAAGGACCAGGGATAGAGAAGAAGGAGGGAGGAGTGGGTCTCCGTGAAAATGAGCGACCTCCCTTTGCATTGGATTGGGTCAGGTTAAGATTTGGAAAACAGATGGAGCAACGTCTTCCCAAGGCCTTCCAAGGTCAAGGGTTTTATAGGTTCACTTATTTGCACAGTCTCGCGGTGTCCGTAAGAATCCCAGGGATCTCCTGTCTCACACCATACTGACTGCCACACCGACCTCCAGACCCGGCTTCCCTGGGACGTCGTTGGCTTCTCAGCAGCCTCAGACACAGATAATCTCGGCCCCTCTTTAACACTCTCTCCTCTCGGCCGCCTTGACATCATGCATCTTGTTTTCCTGCCCCATCAGTGGATGCCCCTTCTCTTGGTCCCCGTCCTCCTCCACTCCTCCCTCCCAGTGCGTGAAGGCCGGGCGCCCGACACTTCTGTCCTGGCCCGAATTCTCTGCTCTGGCTACAAACCCCGGACAACTCCATCTAGTACAATGGCTTTCGGTAGCCCTGTGTTCTCACTACCCTAAGATCTGTGTCTCCAACCCTCCCCCGGTCCAGGCACCCCAGGCTCCTATATCTGACCCGCCTCCGACATCTTCGGGTGTGGCTGTCTACAAGGGCTGGAACCCACATGTGCCCCAAAACAACTCTCGATTCTGCTCCCCACCGAGCACCACGGCTTCCTCTCATCCCTTCTCCCACCCAGGCCTTCAGTCCCTCACACCCTCCTCCTCAGTCACCCTCCAGAGCCCTCTCCGGACCTCTCCGACGGGAACGTCCCCATCCCTCACCACCCACCTGGCAACCTCCTGAGACCACATTTCAACAGCGCCCTTGTGAGACACACGCTCGCTCCTTCCCTGGGCCTGGGAGCGTGTCCGCATGTGTGCACATGGGTGTGCGTGTGCCTGTCCACGAAGACGACCACGGACCTCGCACACCACCAGGTTAGACTCCGCGTGGTGCTTCCCCGGGCTCCGAAGGGCAGCCAGATACAGAAGAGACACGGACGCGCACCTTGTAGATGGGACGCAGGCTGGGCAGGGTCCGCATGGTGGCCACAGAAATAACCTCCGCCATCAGGTGTCCCCGCAGGAGGTGGGACTGGAGCTGGTGCAGCTGGAAGTCAGAGCTCCGGACCCCGGTCTTGGCCAGCAGCCAGGCCATAGGGGGGTCGGAGGGCAGGAACAGCATGGGTGGGGGGCATCCGGGATGAGGAGGCTGCAGCTAGAGCAGGGGACAGAGTGGGGGGCTCAGGACCTGTGCGCCAGGGTCTCTCGAGGGGACCCGTGTGTGTGACATGCACCTGGAGGCTCTCACCTGGATGACCATGGGTAGGAGTCGCCAGTCAGGCTGGAGCCTCAGCATGACCAGAGGGGCCATCACGTATTGTTGTTTTAAGATGATAACATTAGGCTTGACCCCTTCCAGCAGGGAGAAATCGGCTTCGAACAGAGACCCAGCCTGGAAGGGGGGGGGGGGGCAGGGATCGATAAAGGGGTTGGGGTCACTTCTGGACTGGCCTTATTTCCTTTGGGAGCCTAGTCCCTCCTTTCTCTACCCATCAAGTCTTTCCTTTGAACCCCAATCTCGCTCCCCCAAGCCCTGAACTCAAGGTTTCCATGCCCAGGGTCTCCCAACAGAGTTGGGGCTCCCTGAGGTGAACTCTCTGGTTTTCCACCATGACCCCTTCCCCCACAACCAGAGACCTCCCTGCTACCTCCCTTCGGGCTTTAGCCAGACGGAGCACAGAACAGTTCCGCCACCCTCCCCTGCAAACCCCCACAAAAACCCCAGCTCTCTCTCTGGGGCTTTCATTCCGTCTATCTTCCTCTTTCCCTCCAGAAACCTGAGCTTTTCCCCAAGGCTGGGACACATCTAACAAAGGAGGACGAGGAGGGAGGAAAGGAAGGAATAAGAGGAGGAGATGGTTAGTTCAGTTGCTTCTGATCGGGGTGGTTTTTGCCCTGCCTCTGCCACACACGCCCCCCCCCCGCAGGATGTTGGGCCACTTGGCAATGTCCGGAGGCATTTTGGTTATCACAATGGGCGTGAGGGGTTCTAGCGTCCTACACACAGGACAGCCCCACAAGCTCTCTGGCCCCAAATCTCAGTGTCAAAGCTGGGGGATGCTGAGTGTAGATGGAGGAGGGTGTCAGAGTATTGATGGAGGAAATGGTGGGGCGGTGGGAGACAGAGGCACCATGGCTGGGCTGCTGGGTGCACCCAGGGACTCCACACCTGGAGCTCTTTCTGTAGCTGCATCTTCAAGTCCTCCGTCCCTGGAGGCAGCACCAGCGGTGCTGGGAGGCTGGCCGACCGCCTCAGGAGCATGGGGTTTGCACCGTTGAGGAACTGGTACCCAAAGAGCATGTCATCCTTCCAGGAATTTCAAACCCGCTCTAAAGACACCAGTCGGGGAGCATGCTGTGAGCTGGGAGCCCCTCATCCTACTCACAGATCATCCCCGTTACCCTCTCCCCGTCTTCTCTCTAAGCCCTGGGTTGGAAATATGCACACAGGTTTGGGGAGACGGTAACTGACCAGCCAGCGGGGTCTTCCCGCGTGGGAACAGTCTTTGGAAATCCTCCAGTCTTCTAACTGGATTGGTGAGGTCCAGTGCCCCCTTGAGCACCAAGCCCTCCAGCCTGTGGAAAGAATGGCAGTGCCAGGAGATCCAGGAAGGACCCAACCTGGCATCTGGGGAGCAAGTGCCCACCCTCTACCCCGCACATACGCTCTTGCCAGCGAGAAGGAGAAGTCGAGATCCTTATCCTGGCGGAATCTCTCATTCCTGGGAAGGTCCCACGGCGGCGTTCTCCCCACAACAGGCAGGATTAACCCATCTTTCCAGGAGCCCCACCTGGAGGAAGAAGGCGGATTCGGTGATAAGCGGGGGTGGGTTTCTTGGGCTCTGGTAGGGGGATCCGAGGCTTGCTCAGGCTCACCGGTACGCCGTCTTCCTTTCCTGGAGTTCCTGTTCCCGGTGCGTCTTCAACAAGCTCTGGTCGTTGCTCACGGTCCGGGCTGGGCAAGGGCACACGAGCACCAGGTCTCCCCAGACCTCGGTCCACGCGGGTCCCCCCTTTTCCCCTCTCCTGCACCCCAACCCTGCCCATCTTACACCCCAGCGTCCCGGACGCCCTCTTCGTGCCGCCCCCGTTGCCCCGCCGCCCTCACCGGTGCCCTCGGCCAGGGAGACGACCCGGTTGCCCTGCACCCAGCTGTAGCAGGGGAAAAGGGCGTCGCCCTGGGTTCCGGAGCCGCGCACGGAAATGCAAGTGCAGAACCAGTCCGAGTCTCTCAGGTCTTTGTGCTTGCGCAGCCTCACCAGCAGCAGGCGCCCCAGGTGGACCCGGACGCGGACTTTGAACTCCGTCTGTCGCGGGACCCGTGCGAGCTCAGACTCGGGCTTGCGGCTCCCCCGACCGGCGCGCGGGCGCAGCTCGGAGCCCGGCCTTCCCCGGAGATACCCGAGTCCGGCTGCAGGTGCCCCCGCCCGATCCCCGCACCAGACGCCCCGCCTGCCCCAGCGCCCCGCGGGCTCCGCACCCACCTCGCGGCGCAGCGGCCGCAGCTGCTTCCCCAGGTCGGCCTCCCCGTGCTCGCCCACCAGCCACAGCTGCACCTGGTTGCAGGAAAACGCCAGCAGCAGTCCCCGGTGCCCACGCGGATCGTGTACTTGCCGATCGCGCTCGGACTTGGAGGGGGCCTGGGGGGGGATTAGCAATTTAAAGCGTGTGAGGCCCAGCCCCCAGGGAAGCCGCACCCAGACCAGTGTCCCTGGGGCCTGGGCTCCCAGGGTCTCCGCCTCCCACCCACAGGTTCCTCTGCACTTGGATGCACGTGTCCCTGCCACCAGCTGGATGAGGTTTCTCGGCAAGGTGCACCCCACCCTGGTCCTCTTGGAGACACTCCCTGGTGCCAGCACCCGCCCACTCGCGGCCCACCCAAATAGTGAATAAACAGAGAGCAACAGACAGTGGAAAGGAGGGAGGCTGGAAGTGCGGGGGTGTTTTCGGAGGAAAGTGAGTAACCATCTTGACAAAGATCCGGGGCTTTCCATTGAGGACAAACAGGAGATAGTGCCAGACAGGTGCACGAGATGGGCTTGCTGTCCAGACTCCCAGCCCAGAGGGGCAGTGGGGAATTCCCCTTCAACTTCGTACTGGAACTTCCGTGGGGCTCTCCTGAAGCAGGCTCTTCCGGGCCAGCGCCCTGCCTGAGCACCTGTAAGGGGCCCCACCAGCACCCTCCCACCAGGGTCCATTCCGCCCCAGGCCCCTCCTGATCCTTGGCTCTCCTCGCCCTCCTTGGAGGCAGTTGCTGTGCTCTGCTCGGACCCCTCCAAATTCCTTCTTCCATTGCTCCTTTCTCTCCATCCCTCCCCAGAACTCCTGCTCGGGTGGGCTTGCCTCTTTCCTGACCCTCCTGCTCTATCGTGAACAAAAGGTCTCGGGTCCATAACCTTCTGCTTAAATATCGTTTCTAGTTCTGCACGTTGAATTAGTCCAAATCACTTGATCCAGAGGGAATCGAAAACCTTAAGTGTTTTGCTTGAAAGCGGAACCGTAAATGACTCGCCGCCCACGAATGTTTTTATATAGGGTGGGAGTTCTCAAGCGTGGGTCCGCAGTAAGAGCTTCCCAGGGTCTTTGCCATGTAAACCACACCCAGATGCGTTCACAGCGTTTAAAAGGGAGCTCAGATCTACGGTTTGTGTCGACTATGCTGAGTGAAATAAGGCAACGAGACAAACACAATTACCATACGGTTTCACTCCTATGTGGAACATAAGGAATAGTGCAGAGGACGGTAGGGGAGGGGAGGGAAGACTGAATGGGAAGGAATCAGAGAGGGAGACAAACCATATGAAATTCTTGACTCTGGGAAACAAACAGGGTTACAGAAAGGGAAGTGGGTGGGGGGAGGGCTAGCTGGGTGAATCAAGAGGGTCATGATTGTTATACTCAACTTATGGATCATTGAACATTATATCAAAAACTAATGATGTACTGTCCCTTGGCTAATTGAATTTAAATAAATTTAAAAAGAAAACAAAAAAGGGCGGGGCTCAAATCTCAAGGTTCTTATGGGGGAAAGACTAAATTCAGCGTCTCTCCAGATCTTTAGTCTTCCTCAAACCATTACAGCCGTCCTGTCTGCTGATCATTAACTTGACGGCGATTCTTAAACGATCCTTGATTATAGAGTCATAAAATAGCCAACTTGGTTTTAATAAAAACAATACCTTTTTGTTTACTCATTTCTTCAGTTTGTAAATTTCACAATTACAATAATATTTACACGGGACACAGCAGTCGGGGCGGGTGTACACACTCGTCTCGGCAAACAGAAGTCTCAGCCGTGGGCGTTGGTTGAAGTGCCACGTGTGGCAGGAATGAGGCTCCCAGCCACGTGCTTCTGGCACACGGTGGGCCTGTGGGTCTTTGTAGGGGACGCTCCGTGTTGGTCACCTGCTAAGGTGGCTCACCACAGGTGATCTGGAAGCTTTGTTGTAAAATCCACTTGCTCTGTGATGCCGCCTTGTCCGCTTCAGCCACCTCTCCCGACACTCGAGAATCGGGGACCACGAGTGATCTCAGCACTCACCACATAACATGTCCACGGAGCTATGTCCGTGCCGTCCCTCGGGGACTGTCTTCTGCAGTCACACTGTTGCCAATAAACCCTTGATTCTTCCTTCCCCCACTTTTCCAAAGAAGACATCCAGATGGCCAACAGACCCATGGAAAGATGCTCCACGACACTCATCAGGGAAATACAAATCAAAACCACAATGAGGTACCTCTCACACCTGTCAGAACGGCTGAAACTAACAACACAAGAAACAGCAAGTTTTGGCGAGGATGTGGGAAAAAAGAACCTTTGCGCACTATTGGTATGAATGCAAACTGGTGCAGCCATTGTGGAAAACAGGGTTAAGTGTCCTCAAAGTTTAAAATAGGACTGCTGTAGGATCCAGCAAAAGCACTACTAGGTATTTACCCAAAGGATACAAAAATGCAGATTCAAAGGGATACATGCCTCCAACGTCTACAGCAGCATTGTCAACAATAGCCAAACTATGGAGAGAGCCCAAATGGCCATCAGCTGATGAATGGGTAAAGATGTGGTGTATATACACAATGGAATATTACTCAGCCGTCAGAAAGAATGAAATCTGGAATGCTTGGGTGGCTCCGTTGGTTAAGCATCTGCCTTTGGCTCAGGTCATGATCTCAGGGTTTTGAGATTGAGCCCCATATCGGGCTCTCTGCGCAGTGGGGAGTCTGCTTCTCCCTCTCCCTCTGTGCTCTCTATCCCTCACTTGCTGTCTCTCAAATAAATAAATAAAATCTTTTAAAAAATGAAATCCTGAGTGCCTGGGTGGCTCAGTGGGTTAAGCCTCTGCCTTCAGCTCAGGTGGGATCAAGCCCCGCATCGGGCTCTCTGCTTGGTGGGGAGCCTGTTTCCCTTCCTCTCTCTGCCTACTTGTGATCTCTGTCTGTCAAATAAATAAATAAAATCTTTTAAAAAAATTAATATTAAACTTATCGTGGTGACTTTGGGAAATTCCACTCCATCCCTACTACAGCAAAATCTTTAGGCAGTGGGAAAACCCTCCAGGTCAAAACAAGGTTAAGTCATATTCAAACAAGGTCATCTGCTGTGAATGAGACCTAAAAATTTGAGACCATCTCAAGGGAAGAATCTCAGAGTGTGAAACGATGAAGGGGGTCCCAAGTAGTGGTTAAAGGCACAAGTTTTGAGCCAGACACACTTGTGTCCACTTCTGGCCCTGCCTCTAACTTGCTGTAAGATCTGTAACACGTTACTGAGATTTTCAGAGTTCTTGTACACTCATCTACAAAATAAAACCTACAGCACCTACATTCTAGAGCTGCTTGGACCTTAAAAGACTTACCGTGAGCACCGCTATTAACACAATATGTAAGGTTTAATAAGCACTCAACAAATAGTAGAGATCATCACTATGCACAAGGAAATGCCTGGATTTAAAGCCAAGCAGAGTGTGTGACTGAGCTGAAGGGACCCAATGCGGCACAGACGGACCAAGGCGAAGTCATCAATTACAGTGGTTTGCAGCTGCAAATCATACTGTGGTTCTGTGAGGGTCTGAGAGCGAAACTAGTGAGGGCAGGGATTTTCTGCACTATTTAGGTTAGTTTTAGGGTCCTACTCTCCAGGCTTTCAGATCTTTATCAATAGTGCAGTTTCTCGCAGGACCCGGAGATGTCTCCCCGTAGTTTGAGAAGACCAAAATTAATAAAGAAGTACAGTTAAACCAAAATACAGGACCTATCACAGAGCTGGACAGATCAGAGAAAAGGCTTTACATTGTATCCCCGTGGACTTCCATCTAAAACTGGCTTGTCGGGGCACCTGGGTGGCTCAGTGGGTTAAAGTCTCTGCCTTTGGCTCAGGCCATGATCCCAGGGTCCTGGGATCGAGCCCCATATCGGGCTCTCTGCTCGGCGGGGAGCCTGCTTCCTCTTCTCTCTCTGCCTCTCTGTCTACTTGTGATCTCTGTCTGTCAAATAAATAAAATCTTAAATAAAATAAAACTGGCTTGTCAAAGATTCAGGGGTGCAGACCGCAAAGAATCGGTCTCTAACTGTAAACACCACTGACAAAACATGGAAGGATTATTTAACTCTATGGTTACATGGCATCCACTGTCGTTACCCATGTTGTCAGTGGGCTCCGTGCCAAAGAAAGGCTATTCAAAGCCATCAGGTTGACTAGAGAGTGCCCCTGCCCTGAGCACAACACCATGAAGATGCACAGGGTGAGGGAGCTGAGCTACGGGAGCTCATGGCTCTCCAGCTGGATGACTCCAGAGAAATCATGCCAAGGCCCTGGGGCCACCCTTGATTTTCCTGCAACCTTGAATATGCTAGGACACCACTCAGTATTGCCAGAAACAAGACAGTGGGTTAAAAGTAGGGAGAAGGAGAAGAGGAGGAGGAAGAGCAGGAGGAGGAGGAGGAGAAAGAGGAAGAGGAAGAGAAAGAGGAGGAGGAGGAAGTAGTAGTAGTAGTAGTAGTAGTGGAGGAAGAAGAAGGGGGTGTAGGAGGAGGTGGTGGAGAAAGAAGAAGGAAAAGAAGAAAGGAGGAGAAGAAGACAGCAGGAGGAGAAGAATGCATCAGGCGCGTCAATAACTGCACTCGGGAATCTGCCCTGTCTTCCCCAGACATCCTTAAACACACGGGTTGAAATAGTAATCCCGGATGATGGACATCTTAGCCCCTCCCACTTCCCAGGCCCTCTGACAGTCCCTCATTCAGAACATACATTCCTGAGTCCCTTCTGGCTACAACATCAACAGACATACGATATATTTGGGAAACAGAGCCCTTAAGAGTGGAACTAGACCCCACGTGCCCCTCCCTGGACCATCCCAGTATCCTTTAAAACCTGAAGCAGTTGAAAGCCTCAGACCTAGCATTCAAGGACTCCTTGAAGAGAGTTCCTCGTTCCTATTTGCAGACCCCGTAATACCTTTATTTTCCACGTACAACTCCTAAGAGATTATGTTCTGCTGAAGATTCTGTTAAAAAGCATGAGCAGACAAGCCACAGAGCAGGCGAAAATATTTGCAAAACACATATCTGATAGAAGACTTGTTTCTGAAGTATACAGAGAACTCAACAATCAGGAAACCAAGTTTTACAAATGGCCACACAT